GTGTGTGTGTGTGTGTGTGTGTGTGTGTGTTTGTGTGTCTGAGCTCATTCATTTTTTGCTCATTCATTCATTTTCAGAGAATTTGTTAAGAAATTAAATTAATTATCAGACAGTCAATTTTTTCTGTAGAATTTTCGAAAAAAAGGAATTTTTAAAGTGCAGGACAAATTCTAGTTAAATTGAATGAATTTATTTTAAACTGTACCATTTTTATGCGATAAAAATAACCGGAACAAAATATTCATCAATAAAATTAAAATCTGCAAATATAAAATTATTGAATTATTATTGAATTCAATAGGCGGAACTGGGATGTAAACGGTGAATGGATAAAAAAAATGAAAAATGCATGAAAAATGAATTCAAACTTAAAATGTTTTATTCCTACAAAAAAAGAAAAATTCGATTTTCAGGTCAAGTAATCGCATATGAAATTATGCAATCGAGTTTAATTAGCTGTCCGTTAGAGATGCATAAAATTCCGGTACCGCGTTGTGATCCTGTCTTTGATGCACAATGTGTGGGTAAAACGGAAATTCCTTTTGTTCGTGCAAAGTATGACAAGAATACCGGACATGGCTTCAATGTACCACGTGAACAAGTAAGCTATCTCTCTCTCTCTCTCTCCTACTCTTTCTTCCTGAAATTAAAATTAAAAAGTCTTTTTTATTATTTACTTTGCAAATATTATAGTAGTACAAAAGTACTATTCCACTTTTTATTTTTTGTTTAATTGATATTGCTGTATGCGACGGGTAATATTGGACAAAGTAGAAATTAAATACTTTCAAGAAACGAGTTTTTGGTCATTATTTATTGTAAGGAATGCGCTATGACGTAATTTAATTTTATCATTTGTTTGTATTAGACTGAATGTATTCTACCGATTGAATCATTTAATTTCCAGTTCTTAAATGCTCATGCAAATGTGAACCTATAAATTCAATAATTGCTGAACGATTTTCTTTTATAATTTTTAGATTGTTATGCAAATTCATGAATTACTGAAGTTAAAGTAATTTTACTTTCATTTTATGCATTAAAATATGATGAAGGATTATTGATAGGAAAAGAATTCCATTTTAATTTAATCTAATCTTTTTAATAGAACCTATTTTGTATTAATTTCTGTGCTACATTTTGCTCTAATTAAATTAATTAATTTTCACAATTATTTGAAATTTTTGACCATTAAATGTTGGAAAAGTTCATGAGTTTAGTACTGAATTAATTTTAAAAGGTCAGACACTTTTAAATTATCAAATAAATTAATTTCAAAAAATTGGGTATTTTCGAAAATTATCATATTTTCAACAGAATATTACTACTTTTGGAACTGCTTGGTTCAATATTCGAAACATTTCTGCGTAATGAATAAGCTTCAACAGATAGTAGTAAACAAATTGATTAAATGAGTAATGAGAGTTATATTTAATTAAAAATTCTTATCATTAGTACTTATTATTATCATCTATATCTAACATCTTATTTAATGATAACCTCAAAATCCAAGAAATTGAAATTTTTTTGTTAAATGAGGAAATTGTCATTGTCAACATGTTTGGGACAAATTTAATAGGAAAGTTTTATTCATATTATAAATATCAAAAAAAAATTGAATTATGCGTCCTTGAAAGATAAAGCGATTGAAAAGGCAAAGTAAAAATAAGATTGGAACAGTTGATTGGGATTCGGAAATGAAAAAATTGAAAGAAGGAATTTTTTTTAGAAATTTTATGTGACGTATGATTAGATTTATTTCCTATTCAAAAAGTATCATTAAAAATGATGCAATGATTGTAAGATAATTTTTTAGAATGAAAATTCAAAATTTAACTCTTTGTATTGTTAGATAACTATGGTACTTAAGATGACTTACCTTTCATAAATTTCAAAATCGAAATTTTTAAATGTTGCCTGAAAATGAATATTTCGTTTAATCTTAAGCAAAAAAAGAAATAGAAAACAATAATTCATTTATTAATTGCGATCATTCAATGAACTTTATTGTTTTTTTAATAGTTTTTTTTAATATAATTTTTTTAGTAAAATTTTTTTATTTACATCCAATATTTTAAAAAAAAATTTTTTTCTTCTAATTTTAACCAATTTTTTTGTTTTATTCAAATAAATTCGCCACGAATAGTTTACTTTTATTTCGTGGAAGATTGAAAAAATTTTAATTTAATTGTGAAGTCAATTCTCTTCAGGCCTTCAGAAATAAAAATTTAAAGTAATTCACCCATAATGTTTTCAGTTACTTTCGAACTGCGATTTATATGTTGAAAAGTAAGAAATGATATAGATTTTCACGTACATTTTACAATTGAAATATTATAAATTTAAGAAAGCAAAAAATGATACGTCTTTTAATTCTCATATGTCAAAGAAATTTAAATTGATAAATTGCAATCTTTTCGTAATATCTCAACTAATTCATAAATAAAACCATAATACGGTAATAAAATTCAAACTAAACATGAATATGTCCTTCTAGTAGAAATGAAATAAATACTATTTAAGTCTATTTTTTATTAAAATTTGTTGCTGCAAGTAATTAAAATTGCAAGAATTTTCGAAACTGTAATTAAAAAAAGAAACTTCAATACTTCAATAATTAGTGCAGTTGAAGTCTTTTTTAATTTTACCGACAAAAAAGAATTTTAATTGATAAGCGTAATGTTACTATCATATACCGGTTAGTCATATAACAGGTGCGCCAATTTAACAAATAATAAAACTGCAAATTTTACTTTCTGATTCGTTCTGCAAATAAATTGCTGATTCATTCATATAAAAGTGTAAAATAAATTTGTAACATTAAAAATTCTATGATGTATATATACTTTTGAATATATGATCGAATTTTTAATGTTACAAATTTATTTTACACTTTTACATTTCCAGAATGAAAACACAAAAACAGGTAAGAGAGAAATGAAAACTACAGCTATTGCAGTGTGTAAAAAAATTTTTTAGTGTCGTTTCACCATTTTGTCACAATTTTATGATAAAATATCTAACAGATTCGTGCTAGCAGTATGATATACTTCTTTTTTAACTTTACGATGATTAAATCTTTCATTCGAATTTTTTAACTGTTAAAGGAATGAAAGGAAGAAATGAAATTACAGGTGAATGAACGTACAAGTTGGATTGATGCATCATTTTTGTACAGTACACAGGAACCATGGATTGCTGCGCTTCGTGCTTGGCATAATGGTTCGTTATTGGAAGGACCAATGAAGGGCTATCCACCACTAAACGGTCCACGTATTCCGTTGATCAATCCGGCACCACCGCAAATACATCGACTGATGAATCCGGAACGTCTTTTTAGCAAGTTTTCTTTTTTCTTTCTAAATTTTCTCAAATTAATAACATTGATGAGAATATTGTGAACAATTCTATTATACATATAAATATTGTATAAAATTGTACATACGTATGCAAAAATACGTATGTACGTTATGAATTGTATGTTAAATACGTTAATTACAATATGCGTCTTTCACTTTTATACTTATGAATAAATGTTATTCTTATGATATTTTTCTTGTGATTTGTATTTGGCTATTATTTAGTTACGAAAATAAAAAAAAAATGAATTAATTTTAAATTTGAACCAATTTGCAAACTATTCCTGAAACTGAATACATATTTGAGGAATATTTAAAAGATGGGAAAGTTTAAAAAATTTTTTTCATTAAACAAATCATTAATTTCAGATATCATTCTCATTTATAAATGATTTTTAATTTAAATTAGAATAGAACCTATGCAGTTATAATTAATACTTGAAATTTGCATTCCAATTTTCACAGAGTAATGAACGATTAAGCATGCATTTTAAAAAAATTGATTAGAAGAAATTTGAATTTATAACAATATCATGAAACATAGGCGGTATTTGATATATTTCATCACTGTATAAATACATAGGTGAAAGATCCATCTGATTACTGTTTTTATTAGAATTTCAGTGTTGGGTGATCCTCGTATCAATGAAAATCCGGGTTTGTTAAGCTTGGGTTTAATGTTGTATCGGTGGCATAATATACAGGCAAAACGAATTCAAGAAGAACATCCAGAATGGACTGATGAAGAGGTATTTCAGGTTAGAGTTTTTTCTTTTTTTTGAAAATTTAAAATTTTAATAATGCAAATATATGCTTAAAGAAAAGGAATTATAGGGTGCTCGTCGATGGGTCATCGCAACGTTGCAGAAAATAACTTTGTATGACTTTTTACCACTCATGTTAGCTGATGAGGAGGCAGTTCCACCTTACGAGAGGTACAAGCCCCTTGTACCACCCGGCATATCTCATGCCTTTGCTACCGCTGCCTTTCGATTTCCTCATACAATTGTAAGTAAATAAAATAATTCGTAAAAAAAATAAAAATTAAAAAAATTTAAAAAAATAAAAAATATTTATTTAATTATTTCTGTTAATTGAATGAATGCACTGTTTGCAGCTCATATCCTATCATTATAATTGGTTTGATTAAATTAGTACTTAAGTACAGGTACCGCCTGCTTTGCTATTTCGTAAACGAGCAAATGGAAAATGTGAATTTCGTGATGAGGTGGGCGGTTATCCAGCTCTAAGATTATGTCAGAATTGGTGGAATGCCCAAGATATTGTGCAGGAATATTCGGTGGATGAAATCGTCCTTGGAATGGCATCGCAAATTGCCGAAGGCGAAGATACTATTGTTGTTGAGGATTTGAGAGGTATATTATTGCTTAAAATAAATTATTCATTTCCAAAAAAAAAAAATGTCATAAAAGAATTAAATGTAATATTCACGAAATATCAACATTCATAAACGATTTACGAATTATTTGTTAACCGATTTAGAGATATTATTTGTATTGGTTAAATTAAAGAAATGAAAACTTTAAAACATGATCATAAAATTGTGAATGCTTGAATAATTTACATTTGTTAAAATTTAAATATTTTAAACAATTGTAGATTTTGTCTTTGGTCCAATGCATTTTACTCGTCTTGACGTCGTTTCGAGTTCCATTATGCGTGGACGTGATAATGGCTTACCATCGTATAACGAATTACGACAAAATTACAATCTTCCGATGAGAAATTGGACAACAATCAATCCTGTGATGTACGAGGAAAGACCGAAGGTCATTTTTGATCTTTTTTTTTTAAATGAAGAAAACAGGAGAATGAAAAAAGATGCAGAAATTTCTACCGAGAGTTATTCTTCAATTCAGTTTTCAAGAATCCGTTATTCTGTGAAACTCTCTGAAAAAAGTTTTAGGAACTTGGAAAATACATGAATTACTGAAGGACTTTAATAGTAGTTTTTCAACGTTTTTTTTTTTAAATTCTCTATATATAAATTTTTGTCGATTATTTTTGAAAAATACAAATGATTTGAAACTTTACTATTTTCTCAGCTTTTTCGTGAACTGGAAAAATTGTATGAAGGTGACATTTCGAAACTTGATGCTTATGTTGGTGGAATGTTAGAAACAAATGGTGAAGGTCCAGGTGAACTCTTCCGAGCAATCATTCTTGATCAATTTTTAAGACTCCGTGATGGTGATCGGTTTTGGTTCGAAAATATTTGGAACGGGTTCGCCATCCATTTTGTCTGTTTTTCAACTTATGATTGCATAGTGTAAATTAAATAATTTGCTAAATTTTTTTGCTTTGTTAAATTCATTTTAAAAATCTGAAAAAGTCTGAAAGAATAGACCAAAATTTAGGGTTGAAAATGCCCAATTTAACATTTTAAAACTTAATTGAAAAATCAAAGGAACGAGAAGTTAGGGAGTACTGGAGTTTCTTCACTTTTTTAAATTATTTATGATCAAATGAAATGAAAGTGCCAAATTTTTATTTCACGAAACAGTTCAAAAATATGAATCTTCTCTCACATATAATTTTTTAAATCTACCGGTATATCTCAGGATGTTCACCGAGGAGGAAATTAAGCAGATACATTTGACAACTTTACGCGATATTATCCACCAAACAACATCAATTAATGAGGACGAATTGCAGGAAAATGTCAGTTTCCAATTTATCGAAGCATATTTGATCGATTCATCCAATTTGTGACATTCATAGTTTAAGAAATATTTGCTTAATTAAAGAATAATGCAAAAATTTATTTTGCATAAATGTATAAATTTATTTGTAGTGCACGAAATTCAAAGATTATTAATATTATAAAAATTGTATTTCTTTTCCCCAAATTATTATAATTTAATTAATGATAAAGGTATTTATTTGGCATGCCGGCGATCCGTGCGGTCAACCGTTTCAAGTGAATGCAAGCAGTTTGGAGCCGTGCATACCATTCATGCGTTTCGATCATTTCACCGGCAATGAAGTAACATTTATTTTTTCATGCATTGCGCTTGGCGTCATTCCACTCAGTATGTTTACAACTTGTAAATGTTAATTATGTTGTGATTTTTTAGCAGAATTTAAAAATTTTTTGAAGTTAAATGTAAAATTTAATCTTTTGATTATTTTAAATTTATGCGATATTTTAAATGGTGCATATAGACTGAATGGAAATAATTTTAATAAATATTTTCATTTATTACTATTTTATATGGTGCGATAAGAATTAAAATTCCTTCTCATACATTTAAAAGTATATTCGAAAAACTTTTTGTTTAAAGATAAATATTGATTTTAGTTTGCATTGGAATTGGATATATGCTAATACAGAAGAGAAAGAAAATGGGAGGTGACATGGAGCCATGTTTTAAAAAAGTTTTCCTTGAAAGTACCAATTCGGACAATACCAAAATCGAATTTGTCAAAAAGAGTAGTGAAAAAGAAAAGTTGCATCTGTCTGGTTTGTTTTATTGAATAAATTGCATTAAATTATTAAACTTTTAAATGGGTGTTAATCGGAATGACATACTTGTTTTGCTAATAACTTATCATGAATTTCCACTTTCATTTCATTTTACTAGTTAAATTACAGAATGTATTTCATATAATTGGCAGTTAATATATCAAGAAAAAAGAAAAAACAAAAATTGCAGCTATCGAATGGATCAGTAAAAATTACTGTCGATCGGTGATTGTAATTGTTGATGTTACACCGTTGATTCGGTTGGAGAAACCACGGGGTGGCCTCTTGCGATGTCTTCGTTTTAGCGACGTTAATTTTGTAAATGTCGCTGTTTCTGATTTGAATAGTTGCAATTATCCGTTCGTTATGATATCCATTCCAAAACACTACGATTTGGTTTGTTTGATTTTCTCGCCTTATATGATATTATGACAAACTTTGGCATCAAAACTGTTACGAAATTTTTTTTTCAAATTTTAATTATTATGCAATTTCAATTGTCATACAGTATTTGAGAAATAATTCTTTATTGATATTCCATCTCCACCATACTTTTTATCGGACAATGTTGTCGATTCTATAAAACCCATTTCAAAGAATTGTTTTTAATATTTCAGGAAAAATTAACCAAAGAATTTCAGGTAATTTGTTTGAGTAGTGAATGCCAATGTGCTCAATTCCTTTATGTTTTGAGCAATGTTTTGAATCGAACAAACAAACAGTTAATCATTCGTCGTTGTCCAATTAATTACATTATCGAAATGGCTGAAACAAGCGAAAGACGCCAGGAGAAATTGGACCACTTCTTCCGGGAAGCTTACGCGAAAGTGATAACACTATCATTTAATCACTAACCCTCACATTTCCTCTGTTCATGCTATTAGAAAATGAAGCAAAAAAATTGGAATTAACGAGGAGGAGAAGAGAGAGAGGGACGGAGGGCAGAAACTACCGGTAGAGAAAAAGGCGGGAAAATTAGTTAACAGCAAATTTCCCTTTTGTATTTATTAAATTAACATATTTTTTCTTATTGCTTAAAGTTTCTTGCATATATTCTTACTTTCAGTCATTCAATATAGCGGAACTGTCGGGAGATGTTAGCTCCGTAATGTACGGATCAATCTCGGAAGAAGTTCTCAGTACGACAGTTACCAAAGCGGAAATGGCTGATGCCTTAGGAATGCGTGAAAATGATTTATTTGTTGAACGGATATTTGCCTGTATGACAAAAGAAGATCCGAATTGTGTTACATTTCTCAAATTCCTGAATGTTATTGTTCGATTTGCTACTGGTATCAAAATTGTATTATTTTATAAAATTTTGTAAAAAGATGAAAAATCTGATTGCGTCATGAAACAGGGAATTTTTTTCCGCTTTCCGTCACGTTATTCCGATCATCAATTTCATTATAGGAGAACAGAAGTTAACATTGAAAGAGACAATTTTAGGATCGGTTCGTGATAAACTTGAAGTGCTGTTCAATATGTGTGATCGAGAAGGACAAGGAAGAGTGCGCAAGAAGGAATTTTGTGATTTTGTCAAATCATTAAATGTAGCAGTTGGAGTGAAAATTGAGGAAGCGTTACAAGATGGAATAATTGATCGAGTGTTGCAACGATCTGGAATCAGTGCGGATTCTAAATTTTTATCTCACAAAGATTTCGAAGCTATTTTTAATAACGTAGATGACATACGACATCCGATTGGAGTACATATGCGTGGTGCAAAGTTAAAAATTAATCTCGATGAGTTCGTCTTTTCTATTACATTAATACAATTAAATTGAAATGAAAAAAAGATAAGGAAAAAAGAAATTTCAATTGAAGAAAATTTTGAGAAAATGAGTAAAAATCTTCTAATAGATATTTGATGTGATAAATAAAATGCACGGATCTTTTAAAGGACAGAAAGTATGAATAGTTTTGCAATACAAAATGAAGAGATTGGATGGGTTCATATCAACTGGTACTTCTCGATTATATCATATTTGGAAACTTATCGTCAGCATATTGTTATCATTTTCTTATTCACTGCAATTAATTTATTATTATTTTTTGAACGTTTTTGGCGTAAGTTCTTCGCTTTTTTTTGTTGTTATTTAAAATTAATAAATTGAATAATAATGCTATTATTTTGCTTTCTATAGTTTTTTTTAATAATATTAATTCAAATTTATAGATTATCGATATGAAACGGAACATCGTGACTTACGACGTGTTATGGGTATGGGTATAGCAATTACACGTGGTGCTGCTGCGTCGTTATCATTTTGTATGGGACTGATTTTGATTACAGTTTGTCAAAATATTATTACATTATTACGTGAAACGTTAATTCGTGAGTATGTACCGCTTGATTCAGCGATAGCATTTCATAAAATTGTCGCAGTAGTAGCTGGCTTCTGGGCTACGGTACATATCGTTGGACATTGTGTTAATTTCTATCACGTTGCAACACAAAGTCAAGATGGCTTACAATGCCTCTTTCAAGAAGCTGTTTTTGGGTAAATCCTTTTTGAGTTAATTTATAAATGTATGTGTTGTAAAATTTGTTTTTAATAATTTGCTTGATTTTGAATAAGTACTTTTTGAAAGTTTTTGACACGAAAAATTTTTTAATACTATTTTAATAAATTAATTTTAGTTCAAATTTCTTACCCTCAATCAGTTATTGGTTTTATGGTACCATAACTGGAATAACCGGAATTCTATTGGTAGCTCTTATGAGTATCACTTATGTATTTTCAACACCAGCTGTCATGAAGGAAGCATATCATGCTTTTAAAATCACTCATCTTCTCAATATTCTAATTTATGCACTCACTGTACTCCATGGGCTTCCAAAACTTTTGGATGTCAGTTTGGAATTGAAATTTTTCCTTAAGTTACAAAATTTTTTCGAATAATTTTACAGGCAATAAAGCAAAGTGATCTTGCACGCTGAAAGAGTTAATTAATTAAGGACGAAATAATTTAACAATAATTCAATCAGGAAAGTTAAGACGAATTAAATATCTATCAAATTATCATTAGGCTGATATTAAAATTTTTTTTTGATAGTAATAAAATGCGTACAATTGCAAATACTATAATAAATATTGAAGCATTTCTTATAATTCGCTTATGTTTCATTATTATCTGTAAAACGCTGCACAATGATTTTTTTTTACATTTCGATTTAATATACTAAAAAATTTTCCAACGTTTAATAAATTTTAATTTCAGAGTCCCAAATTTTTATATTATGTAGGTGGTCCAATTATTCTATTTGTAATTGATCGCATCATTGGTATGCGACAACAGTACAAAAGGTTGCAAATTCTGAATGGTGCAATACTTCCGTCAGGTATGTTTCAGGAAGTTTTAATAGGCATTGTACTGATGAAAAAAGGGATGAGCTGGGAAATCATAATACTGGTGAATAAAATTTTTTAAACTCGCTGCCTATTTTTTTAGCAGTTCTTTGAGAAATAATACAAAACGGAGCAGTTAGATTTAGGTGAAATTAGTTTTGAACTTATACATTAGTTAAAACTGCATAATTTATGAGTAAATCAAGTTGAGCCTTTTATCCTGTAAAGTAAAATTACAAATTAAGGTTTGTTCAAAATCAGTATAATACAGATATCTTTATACTAATAAGTGTAATAATGAATAAAATTAAAACAGACTAATTAACTGATAAATGTCGAAGGAATGGATTAACAGAGTAGATGCCAAACAATTGATCAGTTGATAGAATAGAAGCATTTGCTGCAATTGGATAAATTTCAGAGTTAAAATAGGAAATGATTTCAATTTAAATGATTTTCAATGATTCTGGCTTGAAAAAATTTCCAAATTCCAATTAAAGTATGGAACAAATGATAAGAGAAATTAAGTTGTTGTTGGAAGTATGAAGAAACGTTTCACCAAATCCTATTTGTGATGGATTATTTAATTTCTTTATCAGCTATTTTTCTTATATATATGTCATTAGTTAAAATTTTAAACTTCAAATTTGATGAAATAAATATATTTTACAGATATAATCTACATTCAATTCAAAAGACCAAATTCATTCCGATTTCGTTCTGGTCAATGGGTGCGTGTCTCATGTCCAGCATTTTCATGTACCTTTAATGAACTTCATGCATTTTCCTTAGCCTCTGCACCGCAAGCATCAACGCTTGAATTGTACATCAAAGCGATTGGTCCATGGACTTGGAATTTACGAAATCAGATCGCATGCGCACATTCCAACGGAACGCCCTATCCGGTACTTCATTTGCATGGGCCATATGGTGATGGCAATCAGGTATGTCTTATTAAATTTGTCATAATATAAAATGAATAACTTCATTTTAGCAAGGCTGTAATTAATAAAGTAAGATGAAATAATGTATTATTTAAAATTGAAGTAAAGCAAGTATTCAAATAGAATATGATTTAGGATTGGCGTAATTTTGAAATTGCTGTGCTAATAGGTGGCGGTATTGGTGTAACTCCGTATGCTTCAATACTGACTGATCTTGTCATCGAAAAAATGTCCGGTCAACATACAAATATTAAGTGTGAAAAGGCTTGTTTTTCTTTTAAATTTTATATATGACCTTGCAAAATTTTTTATTTTAATCTTAAAAGAAATGAAAAAGTAAATATAAAATATTTTTGGTGTGGCGCAATGGAGGCTTATATAATTCTGAAATTTCTCAGGAGATGAATTCTTTGGGGAAAATTTGTCCATAGCAGAAAGTTAGGAAATGAAATAAAATATAGTTGGTATACCATAATGTTCATTTTTTTTTAATTTTTAAAACTAATGTGATAATTAAAGGATTGGTTACAGTAAATTTATCACTTATTACAAGATAAGTCGCTTACAATTGAGAGATGTAACATTTTAGGTTTACTTCATTTGGGTATGCTCAACACATAAGAATTATGAATGGTTCATTGAAGTTTTACGTAGTGTGGAAGAATCGGACAAAGAAGATTTGTTGGAAATACATATTTTTGTCACACAATTCTTTCATAAGTTTGACCTTCGAACTACCATGCTTGTACGATATGCTATTTGTCTTTCTTTAAATAATTTCAGAGCGAGGGAATGTGAATTATTTTCATAATCTTCAAAATTTCCAAATATTTTTTTGCTATGTCTACTATTTTATTGAGCATATTTAATTTCAGTACATTTGTGAGAAGCATTTTCGAAGTGATAGCAATGGCCGAAGTATGTTTACAGGCCTTAATGCTGTAAATCATTTCGGTCGTCCAAATTTTGAAGCACTCTTCAAATTCATACAAAATAAGCACAGAAATGTAAGCTTTTTGACATCTCATAATATGCATCACCGAAATCGATCTGTCGTAAATTAAAATGCAATCGATCGGATAAATATTAATTTGAGACGATTAATCATCGGATATTTTCTTAGTATTTTAGGTAAGGAGGGCTAATCAAAATTTGTTTTTTGAGTCAAATCTGTTTTAATTTGCCTTTTTTCAAATTTAAATCTCACAGCTATTTCTTTTTTTTTCTTGTAGATTCAAGAAGTTGGCGTATTCAGTTGTGGACCGAATTCAATCAATAAAGAAATTGGAAAAGCATGCAGAGAAACTAATAGGATTCGAAGTGGAGCATTATTTTGTCACCGATTTGAAACATTTTAATCATAACGTTCAAATGAAGAAAGATCTGTCTGTGATAATTTGCTCATATTCAAAATTCAATTTAATTCGAATCTACTGATGATTATTTTTAATCAGCTTATTTTAATGAGGTCACTTCATTCATCACTTTACTGCTAGTTATTTCAATGACATTTCGCTTCAACACAAATTAATAATTTTGATATTTCACATTTCTTCGCTACATTTTATATTTCATCTTTCCAGAAGTTAATCCTATCTTATTCATTATTGTATATAAACAAACGAAACTTTCACGGCTCTTCGATCTCAGTTTGTCTTTCACTGATCTTCCTAACTTCTCCGCTAAAATCGTAGCAGTAGTTATTATTCACTTTATTGTTTTTTTTTTCACTTCTCATCTTAATTTCATTGATATTTTGTAAGAAATTTATTTTAAGCTTCGGAATTTCCCAGAAAACTTTTTATACCTAGAGAAGTCCTATCTGCTTAATTTATATCACTGCCCGGAGCTCTTCTAGAACTTAATTTAGATGCAAAAATCAAGAAATTTTGAAAATGAAGAATCTGCAAAAACATCAATTTTTTACGCACTTATCTGTTTCTTTATCCAACAGAATTTTCAATTTAGTTGCTTTCTTCTAATTCTCCATTTATCATTGTTTAGTAAGCATGAAAGCTACTGGTGACTATCGGTCTCAAAACATATCAAATTGCCGAATAGTAAGCCCTTCAAAAAAAGTATAAAGAGCTGGAATCATAGTAAATGCGGATAATGGATTAAGATTATACTTGAAGCTGATCTAATATCAACATCATTAAATTAATTGATTATTTATCTATCTTTATCACTAATTGCTACTCCTCCAGGTGAAATTATCAAAATTTCATTCAAAAAGAAAAAACAAGAAACATCTGCTAATTTTTTGCTGGTAAATTTTGCTAGTCAAGAAATATATTTAAAATTTTGCTAATCAAGAAACAGTTCTAGTGTTTCTTTACAACGCTTACAGTATCCAATAAAATTTTCGTATGATCAATGAAATGATCTGAATTACCTCTATAATACTACTTCCATCAATCATTGAAACATCGCTTGATTGACATATTTTAGATCTTGTAAATTCCATGGAATTTCTGACCATCTTTCATTATTTCAATTTGTCGATACTTTCAAAAACTTTCAAATTGCATTTTTAATATGATGACAACGTATTATACCATATGACAACTTTATTTAATAATTGAATTTCAATGCGGTTGCAGGTAACAGGATAATTTGTAACATTATCTATTCGTTTGATTATGCTTATTAATTGAAATAGCTTGATCATAATGCATATCCATACAGATTATCAATCCATCAATATCATATGGAATAGTATTGTTGTTTAATATATTTATTGTAATTCAATTAAAATAAAATTTCATGCCAAGATAAAAGCTGTTAAAAAGGCCCATATTGAGGAGCGGCTTTCAAAACCACTTGGATTGGTGAAAAATTCAAATTTTAAAGGTTAATTTGGGCTTATGGAACGATGACAATTTAAGGAATGCTATTTTGTAATAGAATGAAGCATTATCTATGAAATGGGCTTGATGTTACCCAGCATTTTGCTAAGGCTCTTTTTGAAGAATAAAAGTTACTGTAAAGTGTGAGCATTTCAAAACTCGATTATTGATAATGAGGTCAGTCTTATGGATCAAATAGTACTATCTCGGAATTTTTATTTCATTAAGATATGCTCGATAGAAAATTCTTTAATTTAATTTGGAGTTATTACTCAGTAACAGTTATTACTCAAATAAATTAATTAAAGGAACTGATAAACAATGTGTATTAATGCGAAATAAATGTATAATAGAAAGACGGAGAATTCACACGTTTAGAAAAGGTTTATCAGGCAAATCCAAATATCATGAAAGTGTGAAACCTTCAAAAAATCATGTGAGTGTCTTTTTTTTGGCGGCAATGATCAGATGTCCTCGTTTGGTCAAATTTGATTTGACAGTTTTCATGTCTACATCCGATGGAAGCTTATAGGTACGATTAATTTCACGTTTAACTTCACCATATTGATCGGCACGTGATTCATGTCTGCAGTGAATGACCAAACTGTCGCCAGCAACTTTCACCTAGAATTTATACTCCATATAAGAGTGCAAATCAAATCTTGGCCATTGAGTATCATCGCTCGATGAAAAACGATGTTCAAACTTTCATCATTTACTCCCTCTATGTTGAAAAGTTTCTCAGCATTCACAACAACAAATCATAATTAGTTAAAGAAATAAAGAGATAAGCCTGAATAAGCATTTAAAATGCCTGTAAATAAATTTGAAATTATTAGAGTAATAAAAGGAGATATTCACATAAGACAGTTAAATAAGTAAAAAATTGTAGAAGAAATTTCATTTCCAAATTTATTCGGAATTCTCTATTTCTACCGTCACATCGATATGACAAAATGATCTGAAAAATTTTGTGAAGATTTTTTCTTCTCGCTCTTTCTTTCTCATTTGTATCAATTCTCTTTTCATTCTAAATTTTTTTTCTTCCATTTCTGAAATTAATCACATATCCCTTCCTTCTCCCAAATGTCCACAACCGACTTGTTATTTTTTTGATAGCTACTATGAAGTTGTATGAAGGATTAATTAATCATCAAAAAAGTGTCTAAATCAATCTAAAGTATAAATCTCAAACAAATTATTCAATTTAAACCTCAATTTCCTTCGGCGAGAAGAATGATGCATCCAAGCCAACTTCAAACTTATCATTCGTATTGATCACTTTAATCACTTCATCATTGTGCTGTAAAGGCCAATCCCATTGGTCGGCACTCCAATTATGTGTTAATTCAATTACCTTTTCTTCCATCCCTTAATTTCTGTGATCTATTTCAATAGCTTCATTTCACGTTGAAAAATAGAATGAAATGCAAAAAAAGCATAAGAAGTAAAATGATCTCAGAGAAATGTTGAAGTACATTATGTCGAAAATACATTTATAAATCAGACAAGTTAAAAACTAATATCTGATAAAGATATTCTTAAGTCTCTCGTAGATAATATATTACTTTATCTAAATCATAGTAAAGCTATTAAAACCATCACCGAGGCATGTTATTTGAGGAAAAACTAGGCATTATAATATCAATATTCTTAGATATAATTGATAATAATGAGTGAAATCAATGCACTATTAATAATTTTAGAATTAAAGCAAGGTGATTTTATTATCTCTTTGAGGTTTCTTTGCAATCGTATATTCAATAGCTTAGGCTTATTTCATTCTCAATTCAAAAAATGAATTCAGAATAAATAAGAAAGCTGATAAGATAAACAATGTTAGTGATTAATAAAATGTTTAACTGGTTACTGATAATGCGATCAGGTTGAAACAGTGTTAGTGGAATTAGTAAGTGTGTCACTTAACTGTTAGGCTATCAGAAAATGAAGCTAAACAAGTAGTGGTGAAATGAAATTAAAAGTGAAATTTAAGCTAACATTTGCTCTCATTTCACAATACAAACTTCAGCTACATTTCCACAGTTGTTCCATTAAAAAATAACAGAATCACTCACTCATTCATACATCTCTCATTGTAATCTCACGTATAAAAAAAAAGGAAAACGAAATAAAAAACGAAAAATAAAAAATGAAATTAAAAAAATGAAAAAATAGAGTGAAGAAAGGAACGAAAAATAGAAAAATAAAATGAGGGAAAGAACGAAAAATAAAAGAGTGAAATGAAAAAAATGGAAAAAACTGGAAACTAAAAAAATGAGATGGAGAAAAGAATTAATCGATAATTGATTTAATCAGAATTAAAATATCTGTCTGTCAGATATATTTGGTTAAAGTGCAAAAGAATGCAAGCATACTGCTACTTCTTAATTTGCAATAAACCTTTAACAACAATTAATGGGATATTTTTGCAAAACTACAAATATATGAATTGAATGGTAAAATGAAATCAAAAATGACGTCATATTTTTGTAAAAATAAAAATATTTACTCTGGAAATTAAAAATGAATCCGTATTTAGAAAGAAAGAATTGAACTGTAATGAAGAGAGTATTTATGCTGAAAACAAATAATAGTAAATAAATAAAGGGCGAGAGAGAGAAAGGTAGGGAGAGGAGGCGATAATGGACATAGGTAAGAAAGGATGAAATTTATAGCACTCAATTTCAACCCATCCATCCTCCAATCTTGTCTGTTCTAAACTATTTCTTCAAGATACTAACTGATGTGTAAAATTCTGATTGGTATTCTTAAAAAAAAAAAACAAACAAAAAAACAAACAGGAAATATTTTCTTATGTAATATTGAGAAAGAGGAATAGAAGAGTGGCAGGAATAGAATTTAAGCTCAACTTTTTAATCTTAAGTGCCCTTAGACACAATATTTTTTTGTCGTAATATACATGCTATATTTATATAACATAAACAGACTTTAGCAAGCATCAATTCTACCTTTGTTTTTAATCCTCTTATTTCCATTCTGCTTTCTTTCTTTCCATCAATGATGAATTGTCAGCAGTGATGAAGTATTTATAAAATTGTAAGTTTGGATCAATCTAGAATTTCTTCTGGAAAAAATCATTTCTGGAATTTCAGCTACCATCATTTAATTAATATTTAATTAACAATGGAATTTCAACTACAACTATTATTATTATTTAATTAATTTATCATTATTTAGTTAATCGGATCCTGCAAAAGATTTCATGTCAATGATGAATTTCAACAAACATCTCCGTTTTCACCGCTAAGCATGCTTCCTCAAATTCTGTCAATATCACCTGACGATATGTATGACGTATTTCGAGTGAAATTCTCCGATATTAATTGAGACTTCTCTTCTCTATAATATTTAGTTAGGAAACGAACAAACAAGAAAAAGCTACCAAACAGTTATCAGATGAGCTAATCACGTTTGTCCATGATTTGCAAGATAATCAACTAATCACTCCAGCACTTGTGCTAGCAAAAATTTGTCGCATATGCCCGTGA